ATAAATCCATCTTAATTCTCGACCTAAATGCTCTCGACGTGTGCACTTGAACACGTACGCTTTTTCCATGTCTTAACCCCCTATAGGCTGTTGTGCAACCGTGTAATTTGGGGTTTAGTCACTGTTAATGCTGTTCTTGTTATTTTTTTATTGCTGTTGTTTGTTGAGTATTTTTGCTTCCCCCAAACCGGAACGATGGCTGGCTTTACAAGGGACAATGCGTGCGATGATCTTGTGTCCCGCACAAATACTTCTATTGGACAACTGATTCATGCTTTAGCATGGATCACTGAGTTATGATGCACGCACGGGGAAAGTGCGGAGAGCACGAAAGAAGCGTAAGAGTTTCTCGAGACGCAGCCAAGTAATGGGAATTCTAGGAGATAATTCACCTCTTGTTGGTCATCGTTAATTCATATCTAGACGGACAATACACCGTCGTGGCACTAACAGGCTTGATTGCTTTCAGCTTTTCACACGCCATTTGCATTTTCCCACAAGCCATCACTCCATTAGCTAGTTTCATTCCCCTTAGAATATACAGCGACCGAGATGCAACCTTTTGTTCGTCTGATGTAACTTTAACGTGGCTCAAAATAGTTTCTGGTACTTTCCAAGACTTAAACTTCGAAAATTTAAGGTGGCTCTGAACCCCATGATGATTTGCTCATCTAGAGGAGCAACTGGACCTCGCAAATCATTTTAACAGACAGACAAATCGATGGACAAATTGACACGACTTTTACGTCCAAAATTTTCTTCGTCCCGTTTTCACACTAAGGCGACTGTGTCCGCCCAGGAGATTTGCCGTCTCTAGTGTGAAAACGGTCATTGTTAATTCGTAGTGTGGGAAATTACGCCATCAGACATAAATGCTTAACAGTAATAAGGGAACGACGTAGATCTGAAACAAAAACATCTATACTATTTCAAAAACCCATAACACGCTGTTTTTGAGAGTATTTCTTGGCATCTGTGCTTATATCTAACAAACAGTACATGAAAGCCGCTTATCAATACGTGCGTAGGAAGTTAATCAATGGAATCAATGGAATACAAAGAAAGAACAAAGAGAGGTGCAAAAAGTAATAAAAAAATAAATAAATAAATAAATAAATAAATAAACATATTTTTATTATCAAAACTTTATTTATAGCCTTGCAAGAGGCAACAACATTTACGTTATCTTTAATTTTCCTTTCCTAGAAAGATAGCGACAAGTAGCCATGGTAAGTTAAAAACTACATCACAATTGCAACCCGGTTCGAACTTGGTTATTTTGACTTCCCCGTTATTAAGAACTCAAAACGAATTCCCTTGAATTTGCCCTTCAGTCGGTTACTACAAGTTATTTCGAACTTCCGCGCTATTTCGTTTTCCCCGAGGGTTCGGAATAGCGAAAATACGTGTGTAGGAAGATAATCAATGGATTATCAAAGAACAAAGAAAGGTGCAAAAAAAGTAATGAATAAATAAATATATTTTTGTTATTCGAATTATCAAAATTGTATTTATATCCTTGCATGAGGCAACAGCATTTACATAATCTTTAATTTTCCTTTCCCAGAAAGATAGCGAGAAGACGATGTAAAGAGCCCAAAAGGATCCTTTTCAATCCTAACCACTACAAAATAAAGACCACAGAACACTTGGATCCCGGTTCGAACTCGGTTATTTCGACTTCCCCGTTATTAAGATCTCAAAACCATTTCCCTTGGATTTGCCTTTCATTCATTTACAACCAATTATTTCGAACTCCCGCTATTTCGTGTTCAACTGGTATTTACGAAAAATAATGAAATTTCTTGCATGGCCTTGATTCTATATTTAGGGGTACTGGTGCTTGTCATCGAAGCTGTTTGGTTTAATTACTGCTACTGTGTAAGAAGCTTTAAATTTATTTACAATGACGGACGTACCAAAATAAACGGCTTCCTGTGTCCCATGCGTGCAATATTTTCAATGTCTCTCCAAATTTTCACTCCGAATTGGAACCAAGTGCAAACTGAACTGGGAAATTGAATAACTCATTTTGCATCAGTTTGAAAATCGAATGGCGTCAGGTGAAAGTAGCGCCCAATAGCTTTTACTTGCATGGTCATACACGGCTGACCGACAGTGGGTGTGACAGGGTCTAATAGAAAAACGTCATTCTCTCCAAGTACAACAATTCAAGTTGTTTTTCCAAACATTTGGCGATAAAGACCATTTTCGTGTTTATGAAAGAACATTTCAATTGTGTTTTCTGATGCCTTCAGTATTATTTCAGACCACTTTTCAGCAGTATAAATATTTAATATAGCGGCCTAATGGTCCGCGGCTGATTTTAGTCAAGAAGAACTTTGATCTTAATTTAAGGAAAATAAACAGTTTGAATGTACTGCATCAGACGTTTTGGTAAGACGATAAATTATCTTCAAGCATACTGACTATAACTATAACTACTGCTAAGAGGTGGTGTTGTAGGGGTGCTTAGATTGCAAATAATTGCCAACTATTCAAGACAGTGGGATTAAGAATTAATCGAAAGAACAAAATGAGTATTTGCCATGTTAATCTACAGTCGAACCTACGGGCGGAGTGTCCGTATGATACATTCTTTTTTATATAAGAATATTGCTTTTCCGGCCAGGGCTGAATAGTCTTATTTTTCTGCAAATAGTAGGCTGAAAATATTCTTGTGAGTATTTCTAGATTACAGCTTATGACATTTCTGTTTTGGAATGTATTTGGTGTCTGGATGGTGTTAAAGTAATTTTGCAGCCAGACTGCAGGCATTTAAGCCTGATATGACATTCATGACGTCTTGCAGAAATGTTATTAGCATCGAACATACGGCTAGTGCTCTGATTTTGTTGCTTTTTGGCTAATTTTGCTGTTTAGAGAAAGGAAGAATTTTACCATAGTTTAGTTAAAAACATATAATTGTATTATATTTACAAATTTTCAACACACAAAATTATATTCTTTCAAAGTCTCAGCCTCGGGTTATTCGTAATATATTCTAAAAATTCCGTAAACTTCAGCCTCGATATAAATTCTTATAAAATGTATTTTTATAAAACAAAAAAGAGTGTAGAGGTAGGGTTTATATCAATTCTGGTTTCTCTGGGACCACGTCAGCTGTCCGTAAAATAGATGTGTCCGTATTGCGGAGGTGTCCACAAGGAGAGGTTCAACTGTACCTACCTTTTGAAAATTTCCTCTTCTACTCTTCTCATCAGAGCGCTTTAGCAGGCACCGTCGAAAGCAATCATCAGATATTGATTGATCCAAGCAATTTAGAGGATCAGTGATATGCTTCAGTGAGCCAGACTGTTAAAAATCCTATTTTTTCAGGCATACAATAAGTTGAAAAGTTTAGAAAATACGTATATAATGACTAGACTTCACGATTTTGTCTAGACACGCCCGTGTTACCGTTTATTTTCATATTGGTTGTGAATTAGCCTTAGTTTTTCATCAGTTATAAGAAAATTGCCCGATGCTTAAGCTACTTTGACGCACTGGCTGACCGAAAACGCGTAAAACAAACATTTGTTCTACAATAGGATCAGTAAACACTAAATGACGGGTATTAAAAGAGGTCAGTCACGGCATTTTGAGATATCTTGGCCACGTACAAAATAACTTTTAAATTGAAAACCTGAAAATAATAGTTTTTCACTAAGATAGAGAAGCACCAAAGAGAAAATAATAAACCATAAAGGAAAAAGGATGGTTAAGGATGGAGAAGATTGACACAGATTACAAACGACGAACTTGAAAAATCGAGGCTAAACTATTCAAGATGCGCAAGCCGTTACGTAATTCCTTTAAGCGTTCTCTTGATCTTAGAAATGTTTAGCCTACCAATTAATCAGGCCAAGTGACGAGACAATACCTTTCAAGACGAGCACATTAACTCACGTACCTTTGGTAGTTTGATCGAATTTTTGGGGGTAACCTTGACCCTTATAATCAGGTCTTCTTGATCGATGTTTCCAAAGTTTTTACCAGCCGTGCTTTTTAGTGAAGTTGATACTGCCATGACACAGAAAAAGTCAAATATGTTTGTCTCAAAAATAGTGTTAAAATATGTCGCATATTTGACAGAGGCAAAGTTTTCATTTTCTTTTTGCTGATCTCTGGAACTTTCTTATTTGATAAGATCATTCGCATGAAAATTAAGTTATTTCTCTTATCTACTGACCATTATTATTCAAGATGCGCAAGCCGTTACGAAACTCGTTTAAGCGTTCTCTTGACCTTGGAAATGTTTAGCCTACCAATCAATCAGGCCAAGTGACGAGACAATAACTTTCAAGACGAACACATTAACTCACGTACCTTTGGTAGTTTGATAGAATTTTGGGGGGTAACCTTGGCCTTTATACAGAAAAACTCAAATTATGTTTGTCTCAAAAATAATGTTAAAATACGTCGCATATTTGACAGAAGCAATGTTTTGCTGATCTCTGAAAATTTCTTATTTGCTAAGATCGTTTGTATGAAAATTATGTTGTTTCTCCCTAATTACCATTATATTACAAATATTACAAATAAAGGAATGCGATTTATTTAAAACTAAACATTAAAATGTTTTAATCCTGCCATAGTTTATGTGGCATACAGTTCCGTTTAAGATTTTTTGTATTGACCTCAACATGAATTAGGTAATGCGCAAAATTTAGGTTTTTATTGATTTGGGGGTTTTCTGGTTATCATTACCATCATGACAATATCAATTTCACTTTAAGAACAGCAAGCGAAACTTAAATCTAAACAAGCGAACCGGCGAACGTGGAAAAAGCTGGTTGAAGAAGCTAGGTATGTTCTCTCAAAAACTGTATTGAAACGCCTTTATCTACGGGGTCCAGTTTGGGGGGGGGGGGGGG